TCTCCTAGCCATGAGCAGGCTCAGGAGAAACTCTGACCCCAGTGGACACTTCCCTCCCTGGCTCTCCCTGAGGGACTTAAACTAGTTAGCAGCTGGTTAATACTGGAAAGGCTGCTGGACACCAGGCTCCAGGGGGGTGGGGGGGCAGCCAACCCACCTAGGTCTGGATCCAACTCTGCCATTCACGAGTGGTGTGAACCTGAGCCGGCTGCCCCTCCCCCACCCCGGTTTCATCTGAGGGGTTCTGGTCAGGACAACAGTCTACGCATGGGACAGGCCAGCCTGGGACCCATCAAAGGGTGCAGCACAGCAGTATCAGAACACAGGGGGCATGCATCTGAGCGAGGTGGCTCCCACCCCCAAGGGCTGCACCCAGGACCCAGGCGCTGGAACCCCAGGTGGGATCCCCAGGCCTCTCCCCCATCCACACTCCTTGGGGGACTCAACTAGCCTCCCCCAAGACTGCCACACTGGAGCGCCAGCCCTGCTTCTCTCCTCACCGTCTACACCTCCCTCGGGTCTCCCAGCCTGACCAGACCAAAACAACCCCACCCCCCATATTAGTCCATGGTCCCACCATCCCCCCGGGTCCCTGGGCTGAAACCCAGGGAGTCAAAATCCTTGGTTCCTCTTTCCTTCGCCCTGACATCCAGTTCAGGAGTTAGGACACCCCAGCAGCCGCTCTCCGGACAGCCCTGGCCTCCCCCTAGCAGCCTCCAACCCCTCTGGCTCCCACACTCTGGGCTCCCCACCGGCAGCCAGAGGGGCCTTTAAAAAATTACGGTGTAACAGACATGTAACATAAAATGTGTCATTTTAACCGCTTTTACGTGTATAATTCAATGGCGTTAATTACATTCTCAGTGCTGTGCCACGATCACCACCATGGTCTATTTCCAAAACCCTGTCATCACCCCAAACAGACTCTGTCCTCGTTAGGGGTCACTGCTAGCCCCCGCCCCTGGCGACGACCAATCTACCTTCTGCCTCTACGACTGACTCCTCTGGGGACCTCATCTGAGAGGAATCGCACAGGATGTATCCCCCTGTGGCTAACTTGTGTCACTCAGCATGGTGTCCCTCAGGCTCATCCACACTGTAGCCTGTGTCAGCCCCTCATCCCTCTTTGGGGCTGAATAATATTCCATTACGAGGATGGACCACATCTTGTCTGGGGATGCCTGGGTTGTTTCCAGAGAGGGGTCTCTTTTTTAAAAATGTTTATTTTTGAGAGAGAGAGAAAGAGCACCAACAGGGGAGGGGCAGAGAGAGAGAGA